TGGCCACAGATTGGGACTTGGCGATTTGGCGCTATATAAATAAACTTGAAACTTGACCCAGGTTGGGGCCTTGAGGAATTCCACATTTATTACCACTGACTGTGAAACTCTGGGTTGTTAAATATGATTAAAACTGTGAAAGAAAGACAGTTAAAGTGATATTTATAGTCAGGAAAGACACACAAAGTCCACAATTGTACAGAATCAGTTGTTTCATGTGAATCAGAAAAATAAACTGGGTTCAAACATCATGATCCGATCATTCCAGGTTGCTCCTGTCTTTCATAAATGTTCTTGTGATTTCTCCACTGATTCCTTAAAGAAAGTTATTTTTAAAGAAACAAAAAACATCTTGAAGAGCAAGTTCGCTGAGAAACCATTTTGTACTTGTTAGTTTTTAAATGTAGTCTGTCAGTCTGAGTTTAACATGCAGGCGGAACGTGAAAAAAACTCTTCTACCACTTGTTCCTGCATTAGCTGGTGAGAGAAAATAGAAGAGAAAAACCTTGGTCGGTAACAGCCACACTGATCAACATCAAACTGTATTTAGCATTCATGGACTTATCTTGACTCACAACAGGGAAGGCTGTTGGAGACAGAGCATGTCTCGGCTAGTAGATGCTAACTGTTAGTAACTCCACCACAGCGCAGCTCTCCTTTAGCGTTATTTGTGGAGATAAAACATTGCAAAGCAGAGTCAGTGGTAGAGTCATGTTGCTGTTAGCCAATCAGCAGTGAGATGTCAGAATATCAAGAAATAAGTCTTGAAATCCTGCTGTCTTCTGCTCACCTATCCTTGTAACTTCTACTTCCTGAAACAGGAATGTAGGTGTGTTTTTCCCACAGAGATCAACTGACGATGCATTCATGCTTGAGAAACCACAGTAAATGTATTGAATAAATGGGTGAACTTGGTGTTTAATGAAAAAACAAGTTTTGATGATGTATTTCTGTGAAATTTAACAATGGTTACACAGAAATGGTAAAAAGAATCTCACTGCACTAAATAGGGCCTACATTTTGTTTTCTAGAATGTACAAATTTCTTAAATCAACCCAATAACCAAACCCAACTGCAGCGTGCAGCAGCTGAGTGAATGTGGTCTGGACTCTGGAGGACAGTCATGGTTTAGAGACGCTGTATGACAGAAGACCTGCTCTGTGGTCCAGATACAACCAGATTTTCTCACGGATCTTTGAACACAATCTTCATAAATAGTTCTCCAGTTTTTCTGACGGTTTTTAAAGTTTGTCTTTGGACTTTTACCTCTGTTACACTTTTATTTATTTATTTCCAATTTATTTCATTGAAGAGTCAAAAGAAAATCAGCAACAACTTAAGTTTTGCATATTAATTAAACTGTCATGACGTAGAGGTGCTTGTACCAGGACCCAGATGGAGTTGAGCAGGAAAAGAAGACAGACAAAAGAACTGTTAACCCTCTCAGGCTCGAAATAAGTTTTGATAAAAGGGTGGACAACTAAGTCCTTCAGGGGTACTTTGGAGTTAAAAAATGCTCACGAAATACATATGTGGAGTAACCAGGTAGGTAGGTTTTAACGTTGCAAATGTGCAACGCCTGCCTCCAGAAGGTTAATATGAATAATAGTTGCTGGGATGGCACAGGAACAAGACAAGGACCTGATGTGCACAAACAGAGGGTTTAAATACACGAGGGTGATCAGGAATCAGGTGGGTAGGATAACAAGGGGCAGGTGAGTCCAATAGACACTTAAGGAGGGGAGACAGGACAACACGTGAGAGGGAGAAGGAGCAGATAAAACCAGTCAATAAATATTAAACTAATTTATTTTCTAAAATTACACGTGTTTCTGTTACTGTTTCTCAAACTGTCTCTACAAAGCTGTTTATCCCTGAATCAAGCAGACAGATGCATCAGCTTCGATCAGCTGCTGGTGTTGAACATGTGGGCCTCATGGAGACACAGAAGGTTTTAGGTGACTCAAAGAAACTGATCTGCTAATGTCTGCTAATGTCTTTGTTTACATCAGTGAGAGCAAAGACAGCAATAATGTAAAAACTTTCACTTTTCACATCCAGTCATTCGGTTGTTCAGACATTTTCAAAGTAAAACTGAACATCTTGTAAGGGACACCATCTGGTCTAAGAAGACTTCACGTGTTGCTGCTGCACTGATCCACAGATGAAGACATGTAGCATGTGTGCTACACATACTCAAAAGCTCTAGCCTTTGGCTTGGAGGCACTCAAACATGGCCTCATCATCATCATCTCATCAGCATATCACACAATCAGCTGAGCTGCCTTACAGGACCTGCTGGATGCTTTTCAATTACAGAACGAGTTCCCAGAAGATGGTGGACAAGTCACTGACCTGAGAGCCTCATGAGCTACTCATACAGTTTGTTTACGTCCCTCTAAGGCATGGAAACGCTCCAGTTAATGTGGATAAAATAGTTATTTGGATAGAACCACAGAGGAGTCTGGCCTCCACCAACCAGGAAACAATGAAGCGTTGCTGGGAAGCATCATTAGGTCCTTAGTTCTTATGGTGATGATCAATGTTGGGAGTAACGCGGTACAAATGTAATTAATTACTGTAATGCATTGCTTTTTGCTGTAATGTGGTAATGTAAGGCATTACAGGGAAAGAAAATGGTCAGTAACGCAGTAATTACAATGCATTTTTAAACCCAGAATCAAGATGTGGGTTTCCTGAAAATTCAAATTGTGGGAAGCCTGAAAAAAGATCCAGTATCCACATATATGACGTCTTTTATGGACTCAGCTTTGCGGGCATTCTATGAGCAGAGAGGACGCAGAACATGGCAACTCCCCTTTTGACTTTGTTTCCGGTTTCATGATTAATTTATTTGTACATTAACTCAAAGATGTACTCAAAACGCCACATGAACCAGCAGGATAGTAGCGGTCCTTGAGGAGCCCTGTCCGGCATGTTTTAGTGTTTGTCCTGCTCCAGGACACCTGACCAAGAGGTGAATTCACCTGATCATCATGTCCTCATAAAGCCTGTTTCACATTGTGGCTTTATTCAGAACCATTTAACCAACCCTTGATTCACAACAGGTGTTTGATTTTAATCAGCAGGTGGTTAACAGGCTTCTGTGGGGCTGATGAGCTGCTCAACCAGTGACTCAACCACTGAATCAGGAGTGCTGGAGCAGAGAAACGACTAAAACAAGCTGGTTAGAAAGGCATTTTAAAAAACAACTTTAAAAATGCTGTTAGTATTTTTTTGCTATTAGTTGCAGGATTATAAGTTAAGATTTCTTTGCGTTTACAAAAACAGCAGCGTCAGAGCAGGTGTGATTCTCTGGCTGTAAAAATCTAATTATGTTAAAGTTAATCTGGAAACTGACACTGCATAATCTAAAAACCTGCTATAGGACTACTGTGACCCTTTAACCTAAACGGCTGAGGAATTCTTCTAGAAAAAGAAGGAAGTTGGTCATTTGTTGACAAAGTTCAGGTCAATAAAAGCTCAGAGGCACAGGAAATAAATTTGACTTTCATTTGTGTGGATTTTATTTTTAGCCTCCTCCAAGGTGACGAGGTAAAGTGTCGGTCTGATTTCAGGTTCAGGCGCTCGTCTCGTTCATCTCTGACTGAAGAGGAGTGACAGCTCCCCACCCCCGAACCCTCTGGTCGTTACGGTAACGTCATGCTCTGCTGGTGACCTTTGAACTCCAGCAAACATCTTGCTTCTGCATTAGACGGGTCGTCCACGCAGACAGACACTCATGCGGACTCAAAGGGATAATTTCCAAATGTTAAAGAAAAGTAAAAATGTTATTTTTACATCCATGTTTACGTTTAACTTCATTTTGATGAATTAAAACTCAAGAATCAAAGGATTCTTGTTTGATGCTGAAATCAAAGAGTCAATCCCTGAAGCAACGAGGAGCAGAGAGTCTGTCAGCTCTGTGGGACCGTCCCAACACACTGTCTTTACTCATGCACGTGTCTCCTCCCTGGACCCATGTCATCCAACACAACATTACAGCGGTGTCTGGAGAGACGGGGAGATGTGAGGAACCTCCTTCAGACCACTGCTGATCCTTCTCCTGACTGTTCATTTCTTCTATTGTCTTTTTTTTAACCTTCTGCAGACACGTTCACAGCAGAACTGGTGATGTAACTGGTCCAATCATCAGACTGTGCTGAAAGGGAGAGAAAATGAGACTCATCTATCATCCACCTCATTAAAAAATGCATTTTTACTCTGAAGATTTGCTCTCATTTAAAAAATAGAACAGAACCCTAGAGAATCTATTCTGTTGTTACCTATTAGTCTGACCGACCTACAACAAGCCATCAGGGGTTAAACTACATCCCGATCCTCTGAAGAACCAATTATCATGGAAAAGTGGCGGTTCTGGACTGTAGTGTCCATGAACAACAACCAGCGACGAGGAGCCAAGAGTTCAGTCATCGCCTGAATGGAAAGCCCTCGCCCACCACTTCTTCTCCGTCCCAATTAGCAGCGTCTTTGCCTGGAGTCGCTCTGTCAGCTCCGATCAAAGCAGCCCGTCTTCTCCGAGATGACTGAACATCCAGCCTGGCACCTTGAGGTCAGGCTCAGAGGACGGAGGATCCCACAGGAAGGACGGCGCAGAGGTGGGAGCAGAAGAAGGTCCACTAAACAACAGCTCCTTCTTTGGATCTTTTCTCAAAAAGTTTTAGGAATTCTGCTTTGTTTTGGATTTTCTCCAGCAATAATCTGAGTCAAAAACTAAAGTCATGATCACTTTTTTGTTCATTAATTAAACTGGAAGGATGAAGAAAAGTACAAGGTTATTGAAAATATACATATTTTATTTGTTCCTCATATAGAAAAATGTTTTAAAGATCTTTAATCTGACTCGTAATCTCTTCTCATAATAAAATGTTTGCTGTATTTATGGGTCTGCGGTGCGGGATGAGTCACGGCTTCAGGAGGATTTAGAGGCTCATGCTTGAATTTACAGGAAATCAAACTAAACATTGATATCAAATAAATATTAGACAGGTACATTTTTATTCATCATTTCTTAGGAGCACCTAAAATGTTGAAGGCGTTACATTAGTGCTCAAAGACAATTAGATCAATTCCACCCTGCAGAAAAAATTAAACAAAATCTCCTCTTTATACTTGAATTCAGTCTGAAGTTGGCTTACAAACACAAACTAAAGATGAGATAATCTGGAGAAGAAATGATTTACAACAAACACGGCAAACATATTTTAACAATTAAAAATATTTCAGCTACATTTAAATGGCCAATCAGTCACTTGGACGAGTACATTTAATTCCCAAGTAAAACTTTAATTTCCCCAAATGCACAACGATACAAACCAGCAGGTTTTCCTGTGAGGTGCTTAACGGGTTAAGTGAAGAAGACATTTTCTGACTAAAACTCCACAATTGTTTCCAGTCTGCATTAATCTGAACATTTTGTCTCACAGATTTAGTTAATTATCTCAGTTTAATTAGAGTTTGACACAGAATCAGTGGATTATTATAATCTCACAAAACAAATGTGACCTCAGGGTAAAGACCTCTAAACTAAAGCAAATATCAAATATCTCAGCTGACGCAGGTCAGTGCTTAAAAACAAAATGTTCATGACATTCATAAAGTCATGAATGAACAAAGACACGATAATCTGGATCCCGGCAGTCGTTAATCCACTACACCGACTCTTTGTAATTCTGACTTTTAGATTTAAACTCTGACGAGCGACGCCAGGCTGTAGCTTCTTTGTAACGCTGGTCTTAAGACATACAGCTTCACGATGAAACCTCTGAGTGTTTTTCTTAATTTTTACAAGTTAAAATTTTAAAATTAGAACGCAGATGTTTATTAATGTTCTGCTTAGTGTCACAAAGTCCAAGAAGCACTCAGGAGCGTGGTTATGTTTCAGATCGCTGAGAAATAAGACAATATCTGTCAAAGAAAAGGCAGCTCTGAGCAGGAACCAAAAACAGAAGTCCAGATAGCTTACTGGACTTACTGGTGATGAATATAATTAGAAATGAGGTTATGTGAATAAAATGTGGATTTTTGCTGTGTGCCTTAAGTCAGGAGCCAGAGGTTTATTGTTGTCTTGTAATAATTTAACATGAAAAATAAACAAAAACAGCTTTTTAAATCGTTCAGATCAGGTTTCAAACGATAACAAGTTTACATTAAAAATACAAAAAAAAAAACAATAAATAAAAAAATATACATAAAAGCTAATGAAACTCTGGTTGTTTGATTTTCAAATGTGGCAGAAAAGATTTTAAGCAGCATCTTATTTAAAAATCTCACCTTCAGAAGGTGGAAGAGACACAACCCAGTGTTTATATCTGAAGATTTTTTCAGAAATGATTTCATTTGTGCAAATCAGTCTCACACTGGACGTGAATCCTCAATTTTCATTTTAAGCAAACTTAAAAATATTGAAAAAACCTTAAATGATGCAGTTTCAGTAAGAGCGTTACACTAAAATCTATCACTACAGCTTCAGCTTCCTGAAACACACAGATGCAAGTTTCCCTTTGAGTTAAATAACATCTTCAGTCAGAGCACTTGAGTTTTTTTTAACAGAGAGCCAAAGGTCCAAAAATATCAAAGCATGCATCAAAAACATTTCATTACATATCCAAAAGGGTGAAAACCCAAAAACAGCTCTGTATGTATCTCCAGCTCAGACGGCCTGGGGTCATCCGCTGACCTGGGTCACAGTTCTGAAGGCTTCTCCGATCCATCTGCTGCTTAGTGAAGACCAACATGGTGGACCTGAGATAAACGGCTTTCAAAATAACAAAGGTCTTAATCCAAGATTTAAAAACAAAGAGAGACAGATTCATCTTCAGCCATTTAAACAAATGAAGAATATCATATCTTAGTGGCCACTTCATTAGGAACACATGACCAGTACCAGGGTGGACCCACTTAACATTTAGAACCACTTTAACCAGTCATGCCATAGATCCAACAACATCCCTCAGAGGTTCTGGTCCAGAATGACACAACAACATCAGATCCATCCATGATGAGATTCTCCTGCTCCACCCCATTTCAAAGATTCTAGACTGAGTACTGGAACCGGAGGTTGCTGAGGTCCAGTGAACTCATCACCATGTTCATGTTCATCTCCTGCAGCAGACAGGAGTCTCACTTTTCCTGCTTTGGGAATCTTCCACATTAATCCCATCTTCATGAGAATGTGGACTTTTTTACTGTTTTTATTTTTTGTCTGATTTCAGATTTATGTGAACATCATCGTTGGCCTTAATGGACTTAAAACAACAGCCGCAGTTTCCAAACCTTTACATGAAAATGAAAACTGTCATGAATGAAACATTCAAGTATGTAAATGTTAAACTCGTGCAGACCTGCAGCTAAAGTCAAACCAGCTTGTTACTTTGAGAAACAAAGTGCTCCTCAGACCCAGACACCTCCTGTTCGCTGAGGAAACACCTCAAGGCCTGCAGAGGCGTGTAAAGCCAACACCTGCAGATCGGGTCACACCTATGTGGGTTTTCATCTCAGGTAGCTCTTCCTTTAATGTCCTGAACTCTGCCCCAGGTTAATCCGGAGGCTGCACCAGCTTTATTCCCTTACAGCACGGTGGTCTCAGACTGCAGGATGGACTGGGCCCTGGAGTTACGGTGAAACTGCATCATGTGCTCAGAACCGTTCCTGGAGGCAAAGTTGCTGCTGAAGTGCTGAACTCTGCTCAGGTGGCAGTTCAGACACACGCTCCGCCATTTTCTCTTCAGCTCTCCTTGAACCTGAACCACACAAATATAAATCTTTAAATGTTACTTAATTTCATGTCTGCTTTGAAGCTATGCTCCATAAAGGGAAACAAATATATCTTCAAAGTCTTCAAAATTTTCCAAAACTATATTTTATGACCTCCAGGTGTGACATTTTTATTAACGGTTGCATGTTGGTAAAGCTCTGATTTTCAAGTTGAGCACAAAGACAAATCACAAGAATATTTCTAAAATCACCTCAAATATTTAATAGCTGGAGCTTAAGTGATATAAAAGTACATCATTATAATCTCAAGCGCCATAAACTGTGATTTGTTAGTTTATTTGTGAAATATCAAGGTTATTGAGACATATTAGTTTTTTCTTCTGCAGCATCTTCTTGTTGTTGCAACAGTGCAAATTAGAAAACACAATTATTTAACCCCTTTTAGGGCGAGTGACCATATTTGGTCACTTTGCAGCCTAATCCAGAAACATTTTAGAAGAAAAATCAATCCAAAAAAGAAGCAAAAAAGCTTCAAAAAGGCAAAAAACATAAAAACAAAAGTCAAAATATATGAATTTTATCTCCTGAAATCAAATAAATGAGAACTCACCTCGCTGTTCAGGAAACAGTAGAGAATGGCCACGACTAAACCCTGGAAGGATGAGAGCAAAGTCAGAAGCTGCAAACCTTCACGGATCAGTCAGGACTAAACGAGTGGGTGTGATGTTACACCTGAAAGGAGCCCAGGGCCAGGTCAAAGAAGATCTTATAATCTTCAGCAATGGACTCGCTGAGACACACGAAGACCACATAGTGGATGCCAAACAGAGGAATGAGCAGGAGGGTGGATTTGGCCAAGCGCCTGGGGGAGAAACACAAAACTAGAGCATCGATGGATATATTCTAAGAATTCGGATACCAAAATAAAACAGATCTATGTATTAAAGACTGTTTCTGGAGACCTGAACCTACTTCTGCTCCTGTAATGTTCCTCTCAGCTGCCAGAGAAGATCCACCTATCAGCTCAGCTGAGAGCTGAACTAAACTGACTCTTTATTTACTGCATTCTGCTGATTTTTCTCAGCTCTTCTTCACCTCCTGCTCTCGAGTCTCAGAGTATACCTGACAACTCCACACAGCTCAGGCTTCACTGCAGGCTAAAGCTGTCTGAAGATTAAAATCACCACTTCTGACAGAAAAAGTAGCTCCTGCACAGCAAAACAGAGGATTCACCCTCCTTCTGCAAAGGCTGCCTGGTTGCATGAGTGTCAGCATCAGTCTTACCTCCACAGACAGCCGGGGATTAAAAAAAAACACTGCTGATCTGTTTGTTATACAGATATTCAGCTGAAATCTTGATTCGACTGACTGAGCAGGTGTAGCATTAGCTCATTGGGATGAATGTGGATCAGCTTTTATGAACTTGTTTAAGTTTGAGTGTTCTTTAAAAAGGTTTTCTGTTAACGGGAGACTATTCTTTTGTTTTTGTTTGCTCATCACTCAGCTGCAAACCTCAGCAAGACTTTGACGGAGCTAAGAACTTCATCCACCAAACAGACTCCCTCCATCTAGACAATCAAAACCAATGAACAGAACTGGTGGTGCAGCTGCTGGAAACAGCAACCAGACTCACTCTCAGCCTGTCTTAGTCTTAATCTGATGCTTCCCACCTGTACTGGGATTGGTCGTTGCCGCCAATGTCTGGACACCGCAGCTTCTGAACCAAGATCCGAATGATGTTGACAAACTGGATGAAGTTGACCTAAAAGAACAAAAAGTGAGTGAATACTTAAAAGATATCAATGCTTAAAGCACACGTCAGAAAGTTGTAACAGCAACGTGTCTAGTGGGGAAGCCCAGACATCCGTCTCCATGGCGACACATTCTAACTCCTCCTGGTGGATCCAAACAACGGGATTCTCAGTACAGAGAGGGTAGATGATTCCTTTGGTGAGTTCTGGGACTCCTCCCAGGGACCATAGGAAGCATCCTGGTCAGATGCTTAAACCGCCTCAGCTGACTCTTCAATGAGGAGGAGCAGCTGCTTGACGTTGGTCATGCTTCAAATATCATGACCACAGCTGAAGGTTTGGATTGTAGTCAAAACCAGTAAATAAAGAACCTTCTTCACCATAACAGACTGGAGTAACTCCCTCATGTTATGGCTGCCAGCCTGGCCAGTGGATGCATGAGCCAAGATCACCCAGCCCTGGTGATCAAGCCTGACACCGCCCCGCTTATGCAGGTTGCCTGGTGATGAGGAGGGAAACTCGGGGACAACGTACAAAAGTTCAAATTAAAGTTTCTTATGCAGAAGCAGTTAAATTGGTGGGTGAGGCTCCAGTGAGAATAAATGACACGATGCCACAAGATTCAGCTCAAGGATCTGGACAGGTCGGGAAAGTGTGGATAGATGTTAAGAAATTAGTGACTAACATTGCAGGAGTATTAAATGCAACAATGGAAACAAAATCAAAAATGGAAAGGATACAAATCATTGTGAAAGCAGCTGTTCATCATCTGGACGTTACTGAGTTGTCATGGGAGGAGGTCAGGAACAACCTTAGTGCGAGTTCCAGTCAAGAAGGGTTTGGGATAGTGAAAGGTTGGGATTTTACAATAGAATGCTAGGAGTTTGATTGCTAACGGACAAAAATTTCAAAGCTATATTGATGAATTGTTGGAGAAACCGGATATTATTTGTGTTCAAGAAACTTGGTTAAATAAAAAATTAGAATTTAAATTACATCCATACACAATAATTAGATGTGATAGGGAAGATGGAATTGGAGGAGGTTGTGCTACTTTTATTCATGTTAATCTGAATTATAGAATAATTAAAATAGGAACTGATGAAGAATATATAGGAATAGAATTGTATGTCAATAATAAGAAGTTGTTTATAGTCAATTATTATAATCCATGCAAAAAATTGGATATTAATAAGCTTAAATTAATTCTGGAAGGGAACTATGATCAGATGGTAATGTGTGGGGATTTTAATTCTCATAGTTCTTTGTGGGGAGGAACTAAGGAGAATCAGAATGGGGAAATCACTGAAGAGTTCATGGATGATATGAATTTAGTCTGTATAAATGATGGTAGTGGGGCAAGGATGAACGTGACTACGGGTAAAACCTTGGCTAAAGATCTAACAATAGTGTCGAATGCATTAGCGGGAAACTGTAATTGGGAAGTTCGGGAACTTAATCTGGGGAGTGATCATTATATAATTTTTACAAAACTTTATAGGAGTAAGGAAGTATATCTGGACAAAAGTGTTGGTCGTTGGGTGTTTAAAAAAGCTGATTGGGATACATTTAGAATTATGTGTGAAGAAGAGAATGGAAGGATTAATATGGAAGAGGATATAGACATGGTGGAACAAATTTTTAGGAGAGTGACAATTGAAGCGGCGGAAGTTACTATCCATAAAAGCAAAGGGACCATGAAGAAGAAGAATGTTCCATGGTGGAATGAACAATGTGAAAATGCAATTAAGGAGAGAAATAAAAGTATGAAAGTTTTGAGAAAGTCTCATAATTTTGACCGTTTGTTGAAATATAAAAGATTACAGGCTGAAGCGAGAAGAGTAGTTAAGAGAGCGAAAAGGGAAAATTGGAGAGGGTTTTGTGATAAAATAGGAAGAACTACGTCTGTAAGTGATGTTTGTGGTATGATAAGGAAAATGAAGGGAGTTTATAGAGAGTTTAGATACCCAGTTCTCAAGGTAGGTGAAGAGGTTGCTATTAGCAATGAAGAGAAAGCTGAAATGTTGGCTAAAACTTTTATAAAAATTAATAGTGATGATAATTTGTCGGAAGATATATGGAGAAGAAGAGAAGAAACTAGAAGGACCAATATTCATGCTTTCGTTCTTTTTTAAACACAGAAACAGTTTTGTTTACCTGTTTGTAGCTACAGTTTCGCTGACGGCTGCCGGCTTCTTCAGGCTGACGCTGATGGTGGCGCGTCACTTCCTTCTCCGTTTATCTGCGGGCAGCAGAGGACGTTGTCGCCCTCTACTGCCGGCAGCGGTCGGCGAAACTGTAGCTACAAACAGGTAAACAAAACTGTTTCTGTGTTTAAAAAAGAACGAAAGCATGGATTTAGAAAGACACAGCAAGAACACACCTAAGAGGACCAATATTGTTGAAGATGATGGTGGGCGGAGACTGACGACAATTGCCGCTCCATTTACAGTTTTTGAACTAGAGCGAGCGATGGGGAGAACTAAAGTGACGTCATCTGGTAAGGATGGTATTAATTATGAGATGCTTAAACATTTAGGGGATAAGATGAAGGGAAGGCTGTTGGAGTTATATAATAAAATCTGGGAAAAAGGAAAATTACGAAAAATTGGAAAGAGGCAGTAATAATTCCGATAATTAAACCTGGGAAAGATCCAAGTATTCCGGAGAATTATAGGCTGATAGCTTTAACATCTCATATAGGTAAAGTAATGGAAAGAATGATTACGGATAGGTTAAATTATTATTTAAAAAGTAGGAATTTGTTAATGAAATATCAAAATGGGTTTAGAACTGGTAGAGGAACGATGGACGCCATAATGAGTTTGGAAAATGACATTAGGAAAGCACAAAACAATAAAGAGAGTTTAGTTATAGTTTATTTTGATATTGAGAAAGCATATGACATGGTGTGGAAGGAGGGCTTGCTGATTAAGTTAAAAAGGTTGGGGATAGAAGGAAGAAAATATGATTGGATTAAGGACTTTTTGTTTAATTTATACATTCAGATAAAAATAGGTGATAGATTGTCAGAGAGTTATAGAGTTGACAATGGGACGCCACAGGGAAGTGTGATCAGTCCTGTTTTCTATTATGATCAATGATGCATTTGAAGAGATAGGATATGATGTTGGGAAAGCATTGTTTGCAGATGATGGAATATTATGGAAAAGGGGAAGGAACATTCAATACTTGCAGAAGATAATTCAGGAAGCAATAATAAAAGTGGAGAATTGGTTGAATGGGGATTTAAGTTTTCAGTGGACAAAACAAAAAGTATGGTCTTTACAAAGAAAAGAAATGTTAAGATTGAGCTTAAATTATATAGGGAACTTTTGGAGCAAGTTCATAGTTTTAGATATTTGGGTGTTATATTTGATGAAAGGTTGATTTGGAAGGAGAATATTAATAACATAGTTGAAAGATGTAAAAAGGTAATAAATATTATGAGGTGTTTAAGGGGTAATGATTGGGGGGCTAGTACCAAGGCTTTAAAACAGGTATATATAGCAATGATCAGATCGGTCATTGATTATTGTAGTATTGTATATAGTTCCGCAAGTAAAACATTACTGAAGAAGATTGAAGTTATTCAAAGTCAGGCTTTAAGAATTTGTTATGGAGCAATGAAAACCACACCAACAGTGTCCTTACAAGTGGAAATGGGAGAGATGCCATTGACTCTAAGATTCAAGTTGCTGAAATTAAATTATTGGGCTAGTGTACAAGGTAGTGAAGAGGATGAGCATATGGTTATGGGAAAGATGAAAGTAGGAGGGCAATATTTCAATTGAAAGTATGAGTATGGTTTGGAAATCGTGTAGATTGCGGAAGCCTTTAAATTAAATGATATAGTTGTTCTTAAGAAATTTTTATATTCGCCTACTCCGTTTTGGTTATTTCCAAAAGTGTTGATAGATTTTTATATTCAAAATGTAATTAAAATACGGAAAGGTGTGGGAAACTGGGATAATGTTGTAGAAGAAAGGTTAGATGACACTCAATCATTCATCCCTATATATACTGACGGGTCAAGAGAGTCAAGAAATTTAACAGGGTTTTCTTTCTGGATTCCGAAATTTAGTAAATATCATAAAAGTCGAACATCTAATAATCTGTCAGTATATACAGTGGAAATGTTAGCCATTTCATTTAGTTTACAGTGGATAGAACAAAATAGTGTTAGGAAAAGTATTATTTGCTCAGACTCCATGTCTGTATTGTTATCACTTAAAGAAATGTCAGCTGATAAGAGGTCAGATATTTTGTATGAAATATTTGAGTGCTTGTTTATGTTGATGAAGACTAATTCAGAGGTTAGATTTATGTGGGTTCCAGCTCACAGTGGAGTAGAGGGTAATGAAATAGCTGATTATTATGCAAAGCAGTCAACGAAACTGGATACTATGATGGAGGTTCCGTATAGTGTTGCAGAGGTGAAATCAGTTATTAAACAGCAGATTCTGGATGAATGGCAAGAACAATGGATAAGGGATGTGAAAGGAAGACATTCATACAAATTAAAGGGAAAGGTTGGAAGAATGGAAGTCTTTCAAATGAGTAACAGAAATCAAGCAGCGATAACAAGGATGAGAATGGGACATACAGCTTTGAACAGTACGCTTTTTATTTTTGGACGGCATAATACCGGTATGTGTGAATGTGGACTTGATAGGGAAACAGTAGAACATTTATTATGTACTTGTAGAAAATATGTGGGGAATAGGAAATTGTTGGTTGAAAAATTAAACGTTAAAGGATATCAGAAATTTGATTGAATATTCTGTTAAATGGGGGAATAGTGGTGTATAAGTTAGTCATAGGCTTTTTAAGGGACAGTGGAATACTTGATAGAATTTTTTTATTTTTTTATTTTTTTACTAGGATACTCCCCACTTCGACTCACACTCCCATTCAGTAGGTGGCGGAAATGCACCTGAAAGTTGGTTGCCACCCGCCAATTAAACAACAGAAGTCTGGGAGGCAGCAGTGCAGGGGTTCTGCTGTTCTAACTGTAAAAGTTTTAACTCTGAGTGATCCACGTGGATCTTTTGTGCATGTCACCTAGTGTTGACTGTGTTTTAAGGTTAACTCGGATTTAGTTTTTAGACTTTTATCAACTTTGTTGTGTTTTTAAAACACCTTCAGTTTGGTAAAACTTTTTTATAAAGTTTTAACCAGGTGTTTTATATAGTTGATAAGTTGTCTTTTAACTGTTAACCTCATAGTGAATTATTCGTTTTGCATTATTTTAATAATGCTCGCCATCTGTTTGCTCTTGTTTTTAGAACCTTTTACAACAATTAAAACCATTTTAACTCCACTGTTGTATTTCTTATGTTACCCCCCTCCTTCGCATTTTAACATCTCCTGTCGGGGACGTAACACCTCATTACTGCAGACGAAGCCCCAAGCCGTCAGTTCATCTCCTGCTCCACCTCACCGTCAAATCCAGATGTGGAGGAGCAGGAACATCATGCAAGCACCTGGTTGCACTGTCATGGTCTGCGTCTCCCCTCATGTGTCTCCTTGTGTTATCCATCCCTCTCTAGGTTCTCCTTTTGTGTCTCCTAGCACCCTCACGTGTCCTTGTCTGCGTCTCATTTATGTGTCTCTTTGTGTTCCTCTTGTGTCTCCTGTTTGCAGCCCTCCAGATCATTCCTCCCAGGTCCTGTGTTCCTTCAGTCATCCCCAGCCCCTCCAGGTGTCCCTTCACGTTCTGTGTCCTTGTAGCTCCAGCCCTTTTTGTCCCCAGCTCCCTCCTGGTTTTCTTCATGTTCTCTTAGTCTCCCCACCATAGTTTCTTTAGGTCTATTATTTCAGTTTTGTGTGTGTGTGTGTGTGTGTGTGTGCATGTCCTTCCCCAGCTAGGTGTGTGTGTGTGTGTCCTTCCCCAGTCAGGTCTGGTGTCCTCCCTTGCTCCTTCCTGCTTCTCCTCTCGGTTATTGTTTTCACCTGTGCCAGTTCCCCACACACCTGCTCCTCATCTCCTATCACTCCAGCCCCAGTGTATAAAACCCTGTCTTTGTCTCAATGTTGTGTCAGTCCATTGTTGTATTCTGTCAGTCTCGTCTCGTTTTTGGATCTCTAGTGTTTTTAGTACTTCTTGAGTCTCTAGTGACTTTCTTGGATCTCTAGTTCAGTGTTTGGACATTTTTGGATTTTGGCTTCCAGCCTTTTGGATTTATTTTTGTTTTTGGTTCATCCTACAATTAAAGGATTTTCTTAATCTCCACTCCTGCCTCGTGTCATCCTGGGTTCTGCATTTTGAGTCCTAACCTCCTCCTTGCTCGTATCGTGACATGCACTGGGACTGTAATCAGGAAGGACAGCACTGAGTGGGTGTGTCAGCAGCTGCAGTTATTGTTTTTGAAAAAAGAAAATCTGAAATCTCAGAGAAGCTGCTGCTGTGGCGTGTTGATGTGTGATGTCACTGAGCTGACTATGGGAGGGCGTGGCCTAAAACATTTGCTCTCTGAAATGCTGTTTGATGTAAAATGTACCGTACCAATTGTTAAACGCTTGCTGTTTAAAGAAGGTTTCACAAGCATCAGTATTTACACGCTGATTAGATGTTTGGTCACATTTGGGTTATGGAGAACTCGAGGCTGTTTGATTAGTGATGATTGGAGGAAAGATGGAGTGTTTTTGTGATTAATGGTTTATTTTATATGTGATCTGATGTAACTTTGGATGCTGCTGTGGGATTTCTTCCACTGATGCTTCTGTGATTTGGGATGATTATGAGATTTTATCTTGTTTCATCTTATTGATGCAGCAGGTTGGTCAAAACCCGATATGGTTCCCTAATGTTTGTTCCACACTAACTCGTCACCTAGCATAACTCGTAAAGGAGACACAATTGAAGGAATATTATTAATGCAAACATGAATTTCTGTCCTAATTCACTGATGTTGGTGAATAAAACATGGTGTTGTCTAGGATGAGTTCATTTAAACCTTCATTTTGTCATTAAAATGACTTTGTGTAGAAGCAGCATAAATAAGTGTTGTTACTGCACAAAATCCCAGATGCCCCCCCCCCCCCCCCCAATCCCGCTGAGACCCTTAAAGGTTGGGAGTCCATCAGCGGGAATAAAACCAGCAGGAAGTCGCGTGGATTTAATCCAATCAGACGAGGAATCCTCACGACACGGATGCAGGATTCCGCTGGTTCTCGTTCATTAAAGCTCATTACATCTCTTTTTCAGGAAACGTCTTTTCCTTGTTAAGCAACAGAAACTGATTTGAACAAAGATGTAGAAATAATGAGATAATCCAGTTGATTATCGGCTAAAGTCAAATTAAAACTAATTGAGACCTCGCTGAAAACTGAAGTACTCTGGCTTTTAAATAATTAAATAAACAAGTCATTTTAAACTACTTAATATAGTTTTGGTTAGTTCATATTTTAAAATAAGAGTCATATTTGACAAACTCTGTTCAGGTGTTAAACTTTTAAGTCAAGGTAAGAAACTCCCACCCACCATGATGGAGAATCCGATTGGTCCATTGATCACCCAGTTGGGAATGGGATGATCGTTTCTTTCCCAGCACCTACAAGAGCAGAATAAATAACATTTATTAAATAATCTGTTGTTAGTGAAAGCGGGACCGTGACCAGAGTTATCCATTTTCATTAAGGTTTACGCTCAAAAGATTTTCTCTGATCGGATGATCAAGCCCTTTCAAAATAAAGTCCTAAATGTTGTTTTAGATTAATCTTATTTTGATGCATTAATTTGTATTTAACCTTTTTAAAGCTCATTTTCCCACATGTCAAAAACCCATTGTCGTGAGTTTCTGATGAGCAGACAAGCTCTGCTTCCTCCTCACACACAGAGTCCAGTGCCGAGTCCATATTAAAGCAATCTGCCTGTCAGCTCGTCTCAACGTCACTCCTGAACAAAACCACTAGACTCTTTAAATCTGACACTTCTGACAGCTTCATTCTCCCGAGGGTCAGTCAGCCAGCTCTTATTTTGAAAACCCCTGAATAAGCTTAAATTTAAAAATGATAATAACCACTCGGCATTAAAAATCTGTTCTATTCTGTTTTAAAACAAGACAAATACTCCATCCATTTTCTGAACCCGCTTGTCCACGCGGGGTCGCGTGTGTGTGTGTGTGTGTGTGTGTGGGGTGGGGGGGTGGGGGGGCTCTGGTGCCTATCTCCAGCGGTCAACGTGCAATCAGGCGGGGTACACCCTGGACAGAGAGCCAATCCATCGCAGGGCAACACAGAGACACACAGGACAAACAATCATGCACACACACACACGCACACACCTAAGGACAATTTAGACAGACCAATTTACCTAACAGTCATGTTTTTGGACTGTGGGAGGAAGCTGAGGTACCCGGAGAGAACCCACGCATGCACAGGGAGAACATGCAAACTCCATGCAGAAAGATCCCAGGCCGGGAAGCGAACCCAGGGCCTTCTCGCTGCAAGGCAACAGCTCTAACCACTGTGCCACTGCGCAGCCCATGTTTGCATCATAAATAAATCAAATAAGAATTATGAGTTTTGTTAACTAATCACCTCCAGCTCATGTCTGAGCTCTTCAAGCATACAAAAACTTAGAGGAGGTAAATCTGTCATTTTCATCTTGTGCTTTTTGCTGCTTCGTCCCTGCTGTCAGCTGTTTTTATTAAACTAAACCGAACCTTCACAGGCTTCGCATCTTCCAGTTGTGTGGGCTGAACAGACAGATTCACTCCATAAAGCTCATGTGACAACAAACCCCGTCAGGTAAATTATCTAAGAAAGCTGCCTTTGAGCAGCTTTAATATTGGTCTAATTATTCTAGAAAAATCATCACGCGAACGACTGCTGACAGTTTAAAAGAATAAAAGCAGCTTATCAGGACCAGCAGGTGTATGTGGCGTCTCTGAGGAAGATTAAACAGCAGATTTGTTTTGTTGTTTTGATGCTAAAAGCTGATTTGGATGTGATGCTCACCCCGTGTCTTCCAGATAAATCCTTGTTATCGCCCACACAGAAACAAACACTGTTGGGATTCCTGCATGAAACAGAAAAGATCAGACATCATAATTTCTTAGACTTATGCATACTGCTGATCAGAAACCAGAATCAAACCAGCGAGTTTGTCTCATTATGAGGAAATGTGCTGCTGGTGGCACAACGTTTATCCAGTTTTGACTCGTTCCACCCACCTGAACCTTGTTACAACCAAACCTCCAAACACAAGCATCTCTTGTGAGGAGAAAGAGATGCTCTGGCACATCGCAAACAATAACTCAACTTTTTAAACTAAAATCAACTTCAGGTCCACAATGAACAGTTCCCTGTGTCAAACTGTTTCCTAAAAGCTCTGAATCACAGCAGGTCTGTGGTACCTGCTGCTGCACAGGTGATGAGGTTAGTGTTGGAAGTGGGACAAAAACGTTCTAATTTACAAACAACAAAGTGATGTTGAACTGGCTTTTTCAGCCTGTCTATAATATATTTTCAGTCTTAGACCATAAAAAATAATGATTCATTATAATGATTCAATTCAGTTCAATTAAGTTTATTTAAATAGCGCCCAAACACGACCAGACAACACGACCCACACGCACACACACATGTGTGATACACACACACATGCGCGCACACACGCGCGCGTGCACACAGCCTGAAGCGCAGAACAGGGAATGCAGAATATCAGCAGGGGACAGATTGAGACAGAATGTCATGCGTCTGTGACAGTGTGTGTGTCCTGTCACTGTGACCCGATTGATCATGCGCCCTGGCTACTTGAACAAGGGAGATCTCCGTTTGGGTGACTGGTTAGCGTGCGTGACTTTCACCCGGGAGTCTGGGGATCAAATCGCGATTGGACCATTTTCTTTATATCCGCCAAATATCTCTCTGAAGAACTCACAACATTGACGGCTTCAGCAATGCTGTGCCACTCCGTGGATTTTCTCTTATTTGTTTTGCAAAAGCACTTCCTTTCATTTCTCCACCTCACCCACAAGTACCTGAATTTCTGCTTCTGTGAAATTGCGCTTCCTTGATCTGCCTTGATCTACAGTCGCCATGTCATTGGCGGAGCGCTGCAACAGCCGGCTTATGTATATGCATGAGATCCACAAGGAACTTTGCATTGACTATTTATGGCAGTAAGTGGGCGTGGTGAGGGCAGGATGTGACTAAAAGCAGCTGAGAACCTTTCTAGATAGTTTCTGATTTATGAAGCGGAGATTGCGTGCAGCTGTGCGTACTCCATGTTTGATAGATCACAAACCTAATTGGCGTAAGTAATTTTTTTCTTTGCTGAGCTTAAGTGCGGTTTTAGTAAGGATTTTACGCAATGTTTGATAAATGAGACCCCTGTTCATTAATCCAATCAGCAAAAAGGTTTCCTATATAAGGAACCCAGCAGGTTGCATCGAGTCACTGACTAGTGTCAGAGTCTTTGCAGCAATCCTCATACTAAGCAAGCATGCAGCAACAGTGGAGAGGAAAACTCCCTTTTAACAGGAAGAAACCTCCAGAGGATCCTGGCTCAGTATAAGCAGCCATCCTCCATGACTCATCGCGCCGTTTTTATTTAAGCTCTGAAAATCAAACTAAATCATATTAAATATCTGAATTTCCTTTTCTCTTGATTCTATCAATTACAGCTAATAAAAATATTTTCCCCTAGAGCCTTAAAACATCCATTTGAATTTTCTTTCAGACATGTGAAGTTATATTACGCTCAAAGTCACGACTCTGTTTTTAATTTCTGTCAGATCTTTCTTAATCAGTGTGCCACCTTAAAAAAGGACATTTTTACTGAAATACATAAGTATTATAGTTCATGAACATTTGAAAAGTTAATGTGCAAAAACAGCGGAGTGTGATTTCATTAATTTTCCAAAAATGCATCTTTCTGTTATTGATGTGATGCCAGTCCAAATAAAGTTTGGTGGTTTTGATCAGATATCATTTTTCAAATAAACTCTTGATACTTAAATAATTTTTGATTTTCATTGGTCAAAGGCACGTTTCAGACCTATGTTACACTTTAACTCTTTACTATTTAGACATGAGTATAAATGGCTGCCTACCCCAGCCGATGAACATGTAGATGATGAAGTGTTGGTTCTCTGAGAAGATGACCACCAGCAGCGTGTGGAGGTAGATGCCCTCCACCAGCAGCCAGAAGAAGTTGGCCATGATGAAATACTGGAAGAACACCAAGCTGGCTTTACATCCCACCTGCAGGAAACACAAAGGACGAAGCTGAAGCTGAGAACAAAACCAATGCCCTCTAGTGGCTGGCTGCAGTTGAAGTCTGAAGCCCCGCCCCCTTCATGTAAACAAATGGGCTTTTTTTTCTCATTAAACATGACAAATACTGCTTAGGTGTTATTTTCCATCTTACCAGAGATGGCTGGCTGGAGCACTGCGAGCTTCGGCTGAAGAGGATGTCGTCTTTCACCAACACGGCCACGGCTCTCAGGATGAAGGAGATGAAGAGGTTGAGGTGGATGTAGTTCCTGGTGCAGTGGAGCTTCCTGCATGAACATCAGACATGATGGAAATATTGGCTAAAAGAATTGAAGCTGGACTGGCATTTTCAAATCATTGTTTTATCAATAAAGCTGTAAAGCTTCTCCTAGCTGTACCTAATGTTGGATTTGAATGATGTCACGTTGAAAGGGGCTAAATCGTATTATTTGGTTTTACCTGAACAGACAGAGGATGGCGCTCCCGGTGGTGAGAGCGATCAGAGACAGACTGTGACCCAGAGTGTACAGAGTCTGCACCACCACGTAGAACACCAGCTGCAGACAGAGAAACCCATAAAAGTTATTTTCATAATCAGTTATTGTTGTAATTACAGTCAGTGATTGCATCAGCATCCATCTGGCACTTTCACAATAAAAAAAAACATGAAATCTTGACTTAAATGTGAAATTCAGCCAACCACTGACATCTCACTATCATTTTTAACATACAATTAAAAAAAATCAAAATAGAACAAATAAACAGTTAAAACTGGCTAGAGTATGCAGATAAGTTTATTATATAAGTTGTTGCATCTAAGCGAAAGTAAGTAACACGAAGGATTTGCAGGAGCTGGTTTAGATATGGAACTACATTATGACAAAGCACCGCTGTAACCCGCCACTGCATGGAGCACGAATGTAACACAGCGGCCTGAAAAAAGCAGCAGTCCCATCCATATTTTGTAAAGAACCAAAAGGAAGTGCATCAGTACTATCTGTAAGTGGTCTTTCATTTAATCTAATTTATTGAGTGTTGGTGGGATATTAAACCCACAATAAGCATGAAGTGTGGCTAATGTGTGTGTTTGTTCACAGAAGCTGGAGGCTTTTTTGTCCACTGTGTTACATCCATGCAGCAGCGGGTTACGGCGGTGCTTTGTCGTCATGAAGTCCCACGTCTAAACCGACTCCAGCAAATCCTTCGTGTTCCTCATTTTTCATTTGCAGTCGACATGATTATTGATCTCACCAGGAATAATTGGTATCATTGTTGAGTATGTAGCTGGTTAATGTTGTGCTTTTAAGCTTAATATATTACCTTTACTTATGACCAATAAGCTGTGATACTCTATATAAATATAGAATATCAACCTGCATGTTTATCAGAACATTCTAGGATTCTTTGCTTTTTCAGGGATCAAACACACTTCGTCTCAATTCAGACAGAGTCAGGTTGATAAAAGATAAGAAATTTATTTTCTAAACAAATGAAAACGTGACAAGTTAACCAAGACTACTGTGATGGATGAAACTAAGAGGATGGGATGTGATGTATGGTAACTCTGTGTGAATGTTTATCAGAACCTTCGTATCTAGAAGAACTGAGTTCTGGGTGTAAAAAGGAGAATTTGGTTTGCATTAAGATATAAAGTTGGTTCTTATCAAAAAGGCATCAGACACAATCTGTGTGTCTACCTCACCTTTTCTTTGGAGACCCTCTTCGTGGATCGGAAGGTCAGGGAGGTCGGATGACCTCTTGGGCACTGAGGTTTGGTAGATTAACCACAGCACCGACTCTCCAGTCCAGAGATGTTTCCGAGTCACAAGAGATAGATGAAATCATTTGCGTCTAGAACAGATGTTTCTGAATAGCTGAAGGAACTGTTTTGCTGTGTCAGCTGTAGTGTGTAGCAGGGTTTTTGACAGCTTGTCAAAACGCTCTGGGTTAAAGAGGGTTTGCTACGGATGGCCTGCCCGTAGCTTTCTCTAGAACTGAATGCTGAATCTCACAGGATGATGGAAGCTGGAACTTGAAGTGCTGAATCACTGTAAGAGATTCTGTTTTAATATTCTCATATTATGAATTCTTGGCCAACAGGGACATGCCGTGTTAAGGGGTGTTCACAAGCAAACCTCAGAACGTCACGCCTCTTTCAGATACAGGATGTTCTGATTCGTGGAACAGAAAGCAATGTGTCAGGATATTAGCTTAACCTTGTCATCGTCACGTGTCTGAGTGTGTGAGCTGTCAGAAAATAGTGATTCACTTGTTAAACCAACATTACTGATCATAATATCAAAATGTTTCATTTTAACCACAGTAATTTAAGCACAGATTAATCAAAGCATTATTGATCATTTCGTATAACATTTGTTCATTCCATTTCGATTGATTAATTCATATGAGCTGAAAATAGTCACTTTATTCAGAGGCATGAGGAAGCTTGTAGAAGTGAAAAGGGAAGCTTAGACCTTGAAACGGGAACAGTTTGTTGACAATATGCTATCATGTGTTCCGAGCTGCAGTGAGGCCCGGACTCCATCTGATGGAATAGCAGGATCCGGCAGATTAAAGGCAACAAATGTAGACTCTTGTCTCCATATGACCAGATACTGAAGGGGTCAAACTGTACATGAAAAACTGACCATTTGTGGACGTTACAAGTAAGTTTAACCCTCTAGAGGCAGGCGCTGCAGATTTGCAACGTCAAAACCTACCTACCTGGTTACTCCACATATGTATTTCATGAACAATTTTTAACTCAGAAGTACCCCTGAATGACTTAGTTGTTCATCCTTTTATCAAAACTTATTTTGAGCCTGAGAGGGTTAAGCACTTTTGCACACAAATAGCTAGCACCTGCTATTCACTTCCATTGTTTATGCTAAGCTAAAGCAGACAGACTGCTGCCAGACAAGGAGAATTACTGCGCTGGTAACAAGATTTTTTCTCACTTACCTAACTCTGGGAATACAAAAATAGACATCACTTGGGGTGGAATATCCCTTTAAATAATATTTAGCGTCAGAACCATTGACATACACTCAACAAAAATATAAACGCAACACCTTTGTTTCTGCTCCGATTTTTCATGAGATAGACTTAAAGATCTAAAATTCATTCCAGATACACAATATTAACATTTCTCTCAAACACTGTTCACAAATCAGTCTAAATGTGTGATAGTGAGCTCTTCTGCTTTGCTGAGATAATCCATCCCACCTCACAGGTGTGCCACATCAAGATGCTGATCCGACATCATGAGTAGTGCACAGGTGTACCTTATACTGCCCACAATAAAAGGCCACCCTGGAATGTGCAGTTTTGTCTCACAGCAAAATGCCACAGATGCCACAAGCATTGAGCGAGCGTGCAATTGGCATGCTGACAGCAGGAATGTCAACCAGATCTGTTGCTCGTGCATTGAATGTTCATTTCTCCACCATAAGACATCTCCAAAGGCGTTTCAGAGAATATGGCTGTACAACCGGCTTCACAACCGCAGACGACGTGTAACCACACCAGCCCAGGACCTCCACATCCAGAAGGTTCACCTCCAAAATTGTCTGAGAGCAGCCACTCAGACAGCTGCTGAAACAATTGGTTTGCATGACCAAACAATTTCTGCACAAACTGTCAGAAACCATCTCAGGGAAGCTCAACTGCATGCTCGTCGTCCTCATCGGGGTCTTTACCTGACTCCAGCTTGTCGCCGTAACAGACTTGAGCGGGCAAATGCTCACATTCAATGGTGTCTGGCACGTTGGAGAGGTGTTCTCTTCACGGATGAATCTCTGTTTACATTGTTCAGGGCAGATGGCAGACAGCGTGGGTGGCATCGTGTGGGTGAGCACTTTGCCGATGTCATTGTTGTGGATCGAGTGGCCCATGATGGTGGTGGGGTTATGTTATGGGCAGGCATCTGTTATGGACGAAGAACACAGGTGTATTTTATTGATGGCATTTTGAATGCACAGAGATACTGTGATGAGATCCTGAGGCCCATTGTTGTGCCGTACATCCATGAACATCACCTCATGTTTCAGCAAGATAATGCACGGCCCCATGTTGCAAGGATCTGTACACAAATCTTGGAAGCTGAAAATGTCCCAGTTCTTGCATGGCCAGCATACTCACCAGACATGTCACCCGTTGAGCATGTTTGGGACGTGCTTGACCGGCGTATACGACAGCGTGTACCAGTTCCCACTAATATCCAACAACTTCGCACAGCCATTGAAGAGGAGTGGTCCAACATTCCACAGGCCACAATTGACAACCTGATAAACTCTATGCGAAGAAGATGTGTTGCACTGCGTGAGGCAAATGGTGGTCACACCAGATACTGACCGGTTCTGAGTCCCCAGACCCACAATAGAGCTCCGGACCCCACGTGACTCTCAGTTAGTAGACGCCATATTGGCAGGTAAAAGAATCTAAACAAACACGGATGTAAACATGAACGTGAACGGGATCGGCTTGGATTTTACTTCGTCTGAGTTTACTTCACTCTTTAAAACCGAAGAAATCGTTCCATATAGTCAGAAATTAAATAGACTAAACATCTCTGACCCTTACCGTGACCCTGGGATACTTTTTAAAAACGCCAGAAGCTGTCGGAGCGGACTTCTTACCAGACCTAGCCGGGGAACCCCTTGGGATTTACCCGGAGGAGTTGGCTCAGGTGGCTGGGGAGAGGGAAGTCTGGGCCTCTCAACGCTACATGCCCCCGCAACCCGACTTGATGATACGCGGATGAAAATGGATGGACAAATAACAGATTTACACGTAAGTAGTTTAAACAGAGTGCTGTGCTGTTTGAATGTATAAACTGAACGCCAAGAGAAATCACTAGTTTGATTTTTTTTCCGTGAATAAAATAAATATGTCAGGCAGGAGCGTCTCAGGATCTGTCTGAGATCTGTCTCAGTGAGACAGATAATAGCAATTCTAAGTGCTTTTTATGTGTGATCTGACAATTGATCAACCATTGCTTAAAAATTAAATACAGCTTAGCCGGTTAATTGCTGTGATCATAAAACACGGAAATGGCAGCACGCAGAAATCACGAGGAAACGTTTTACGTGACGTTTACTTGTTGCTATGAGTAATAAGACAGAAAAAGCCACGCCAAAATAAGTTTAGGAAGCCCACTAACAATCGTAATAAAAGCATTTAAAATAAATACCATACACAGTTGAGGAAACGTTGGTTTAAGTACCTGATATGAAGTGGTCGCTGCATAAGCGAAAACCTTTACTCTCGGGATCCCACAGTTTCATTTTAGCCCGGTTACTAGCGCGTTTTATTACAATGATCCAACGTTTGCGGCGTTCAGGATCTTGGAGAATCCTGTAGATGGCTCATTCCTTATGTCGTCCGCGTCTGTTCTGCATCCTGGGGCACAACAGGAATCTACCATATTTCTCGTCTGATTGCGTTTTCTGACAATAACAAATAGTCCAGCTGTCGGCTTCTACCTGCCAAGATGGTGCCGTTTCGATTTGAACTGTAGCATGCCGGGAGAAGTGACATCAACTCCCGGAGCTCTATAAAGCAAAAAACTGCACATTCCAGGGTGGCCTTTTATTGTGGGCAGTATAAGGTACACCTGTGCACTACTCATGATGTCAGATCAGCATCTTGATGTGGCACACCTGTGAGGTGGGATGGATTATCTCAGCAAAGCACAGGTGCTCACTGTCACACATTTAGACTGATTTGTGAACAAAGTTTGAGAGAAATGTTAATATTGTGTATCTGGAATGAAATTTAGATCTTTAAGTCCATCTCATGAAAAATCGGAGGTGAAAGAAAGGTGTTGCGTTTACATTTTTGTTGAGTTTATATACCATATCAGAACTTATATTTAGAAATAACACATTTGATTGTATTGCAGGTTTTAAAAGACAAATAAATTATTTTTTTCTGCCAGCATGTGTGAAATTTCAAAGATTTCATATTTTAAGTGGGGCTTAATTTGCTCAAATTGCACACGGAAAAACAAATATATGCACACTCCTCATGTTTTAGTTTTTTCTTGCAAATGCATCAAACATTTTCTGCAATTTTGATTTGCATGAAGTACAAAGAAAAGCAGAATTATGAGACCAATAATCACTCTGCACAGCAAAACAGAAAAAGAAAAGAGGTCAAAGAGCAAACTGCATTAAAAGCTTAGAATATTAGATGAAATGTAATCTTAGAACCACAAGCATTATCATTTCATTACTATTGCTAGTCCGACTCTGGTGAATCCATCAGCTGAAAGTAACGGAGACGAGGACACGGTGACGCGAGGACACGGTGACGCGAGGGAAGAGGTCAAGAGAGCAGAAGATTAGCAGAGGGAGGGAGGGAGGGAGGGAGAGAGAGAGAGAGAGAGAGAGAGAGAGAGAGAGAGAGAGAGAGAGAGAGAGAGAGAGAGAGAGAGAGAGAGAGAGAGAGAGAGAGAGTTAGAGTTAGAGAGAGAGAGTTAGAGAGAGAGAGAGACACACCAAGTAATTCTGCTGTAATGTTTGTGACCCAAAACATGCAAACAGGAGGAAGCTGCAGTTACACAACAGCAGAGCGGACAGCATGCGGTGGATTTCACGACTGAGATGTCCCACATGTGAGGACAAAGACAGAACTAGATCTGAGACTGATTTTAATGTAAATATTGAGATTTCCATCTCATTATAAACATGTTCTAATGTTCACTCATCTTTAAATGATTATTTTTGCTTATAGAAAAAATGTTAAAAATGGATCCAAGAAGCTGCAGCAAAGATGTCAAAAATTAATGTTAAAGAACTTTTTCTTTACTAATTTAAAAATGTGTGCTTTCAGGTCAGGGAGGGTCAGAGGGTCACGAAAGGTCAACCAGCTGAAGGCAGGTCTCGCCCACCGGGTAACCCTCAGGAAGGGCAGCAGGTCTGAAGTGGGTTTGAAGCTTTAGTTTGTTAGAGCAGAGACAATCTGAGTCAAAGGTTACACTAAAAATTTAAACAGCATTTTAATGCAAAATATATATATATATATATATATAAAAACAGTTTCACTTTCTTTTAATTGCAGTTTTAGGACCAGACAGTCTGAGGTAGAGGAACAACAGTGACAATGAATCGTCTGACAGAGACTGAAATAGTCTTCTGACAGATCCTCAAGCCCCTTGATATCGAGTTCATTCAGAGGAGACGTCAATCAGCAGGCGGTCAGTCATGATGACGTGTACTTTTCTCATCAGTGGAAATAGAAATCCATTCATTCTCTTCCACGTATCCGGGGTCGGATCGCGACGGCAGCAGCCTAAGCAGGGAGGCCCAGACTTCCCTCTCCCCAGCCAGCCACTTGGGCCAGCCCCTCTGGGGAATCCCAAGGCGTTCCCTGGCCAGCCGAGAGACATAGTGTCTCCAGTGTGTCCAGGGTCTTCCTTTAGGTCTCCTCCCAGTTGGATGTGCCCACAAAACCTCACCAGGGAGGCGTCCAGGAGGCATCCTAACTAGATGCCCGAGCCACCTCAACTGGCTCCTCTTGATGTGGAGGAGCAACGGATCTACTCTACTATGTCTCTCACCTGGCCAGACTTACGCTACTTCCTCCGCGACCCGACTCTGAATAAGCGGATGAAAATGGATGGATGGATGGATGGATGGGTTTTAGTCGAAACACACGTTCGCATTTTTAAAACATTCAGTCAATTCTCCAAAATGCAAAAGGGTTTCTGTTTTATCCAAACAGCAATAAAACAACAATCAGAGGAGCTAGCAGAAGTGTGACAGGCCACACAAGCATGAACCCGGTTAATAGTGACGATCGATTTTTCATGCTTTAGTTTGAGGTTCATGATTCCAGATCAACGTTGTTCTGAAAAGCCCCACAGAAAAGATGGAGTGCTGTTATTGGACAGAAGCGTGTCATTGTTTAGGATGTTTTGGTTAATTTGTAAGAAGAGGGTCAACTGAGAAACTAGACCAACAGAAACTACAGAGGAGAGTGGCCGGCTGCCGGTTAAACGAGCACAATAGGTGATTAGGATGTGACCCAAACCGGACCGCAGTGGGTGAAAGCAGAGCGAAGCAGCAAATACCACAAAAGAGGCCAAACAGAGCAGCTCCTGTAACCTCAAACTGTTCATGGGGACGAGGAACCGCTGATGAACATCATTTAATCCTCCTCTGGCTCATCTCCCAGGAAAATGTTTGTTACTTAAATCTCACATTTTAGTCAAAAATTGTTCACTAAAAATGATGAAATGATCCTATTTTAGATTAACTTTGACCGGCAAATATCAGTCAACCTTTTACTAATCAGCCTCAAAAGTGGAGTGGGAAGATTTACATTCAGAACCACATGCAGCAGCACGAGCGGGTGGACGGACCCCCTGACGAGCCACAAACTGGATCTGAAAACAGATCTGCTGTGATTTCATCAGTGACGCAGAATCCAGGAGGAGGAACACAAATTGCTTACATGCATCATGCCGCCATTGGGCACATTGACCTTTTAACGACACAGTCTCTCACCACAAACTGGTGCTAATTAACCATCAGCCCTGCCGGCGTTGTAGATTACACCACTAATGGTGCTGCAGCTTCCTATGTTTTACACGCAGAGCTCAGGCGATTATCTACAGCAAGCAGCAGCCGTACCTTATCCTGGCTCGTGTCGGAGCCACACACACGGCTGATGTTTGGGAAAACCTCGGACCAGCCGGTTGACGTACAGTTCCTGCTAATGTTACCTGTGAGAAACACATATGGAGAAAATCTGAGTTAGCTTGTGGAAGAATAAAAGTCACACTTAAATACTAACAAAATGGAGTTTTATCGTTTCTGTGGATCTACAGAGGTTAGGCAGTGAAGTTTTTGCTTTGTTCAGACCCTCTACACACGTAGCCGGGTATCCCTGTCATCCACACGGAAGTCAAGACAAACGGCACCAAAACAATTCTTTCAAAGGACCAAAGTGGAGACTCGTGAATACTCTGTTGTCAGTATTTGCTTGTGGACACAAATATTCAGGGTTTTAAGGCAGTGACACATGTCGTCGCTTCTGCCTGCCGCCTAAGTAGAGTGTAGAGTGGGTGGGGGGTGTTTGCATTCTCAGCATGAAAAGTTGGAGGTGTGGCGTCAGAGCGTGTGAAGAGGGTCAAATGCATGTCTCACGCTCAATGTGTGAGAGTTGGCTACAACTAGTAGCGTTATTGCACACACACACACACACACACACACACACACACACACACACACACACACACACACACACACACACACACACACACACACACACACACACACACACACACACGAAAATTGAAAACTGTCTCTGTAAATCATGAAGACAGACATGATGGCGTGATGTTTATGATGTGAGACTAATACATATGAGAAGGAAGCAGATGATCCTGGAGATCACAGAAACAGATAATAACCCAGAGAGACGACTGCTGATGCAATCCATCTACAGATAGTAATACCATCCATCCATTTTCATCCGCTTATCCGGAGTCGGGTCGCGGGGGCAGTAGCCTAAGTCGAGAGGCCCAGACTTCCCTCTCCCCAGCCACTTGGGCCAGCTCCTCCGGGGGAATCCCAAGGTGTTCCCTGGCCAGGTGAGAGACATAGTCCCTCCACCGTGTCCTGGGCCTACCTTTAGGTCTCCTCCCAGTTGGACGTGCCCGGAAAACCTCACCAGGGAGGCGTCCAGGAGGCATTCTGACCAGATGCCCGAGCCACCTCAACTGGCTCTTCTCGATGTGGAGGAGCAGCGGGTCTACTCCGAGCCCCTCCCAAATGACCGAGCTTCTCACCCTATCTCTAAGGGAGAGCCCAGCCACTCTGCGGAGAAAACTCATTTTGGCCGCTTGTATCTGAGATCTCGTTCTTTCGGTCACTACCCAAAGCTCATGACCATATGTGAGGGCAGGAACGTAGATCGTCCGATAAATCGAGAGCTTCACCTTCTGACTCAGCTCTCTCTTCACCACGACAGACCGGTAGAACGCCCGCATCACTGCAGATGCAGCACCAATCCACCTCTCGATCCAGTCCAGTCCAGGGTCCAGTTTTCCCTCACTCGTGAACAAGACCCCGAGATACTTAAACTCCTCCACTTGGGGCAGGACCTCATCCCTGACCTGGAGAAGGCATTCTACCCGTTTCCGAGTCAAGACCATGGTCTCAGATTTAGAGGAGCTGATTCTCATACCAGCTGCTTCACACTCGGCTGTGAACCGCTCCAGTGAAAGCTGAAGATCACGTTCTGATGAAGCCAACTGGACCACATCATCTGCAAAAAGCAGAGACCTGATCCTCAGGCCACCAAAACGGATGCTCTCCACACCTTGGCTGTGTCTAGAAATCCTGTCCATAAAGGTTGTGAACAGAATCTGTGTCAAAGGGCAGCCTTGGCCAAGTACAACTCTCACTGGGAACGAGCCCGACTTACTGCTGGCATTGCGGACCCAGCTCTGACACCGGTCATGCAGGGACCTAACAGCCCGTATCAGAGGGCCTGGTACCCCATACTCCCGGAGTACCCCACAGGGCCCCCCGAGGGACGCGGCCAAACGACTTCTCCAAATCCACACAACACATGTAGACTGGTTGGGCAAATTCCCACGCACCCTCCAGGATCCCCCTGAGTTATGATAAATGAATGACCTGCACTTGTATAGCACCTCTCAGAGTAAGGACTCCAAAGCGCTTTACACTACAGTGTATCATTCATCCATTCACACACACATTCATACACTGGTGGAGATGAGAGGCGAGGCTGCCGAGCACAGGCGCCACCGGACCCTCCGACCACCACCAGCAGGCAAAGTGGGTTAAGTGTCTTGCCCAAGGACACAACAGCAGAATTCTCTGTCCGGAGCCAGGATCGAACCTGCAACCTTCCGATTACTGGACAACCCGCTCAACCTGTTGAGCTACTGCTTCCCATCTTCTCGATGTGGAGGAGCAGCGGGTCTACTCCAAGCCCCTCCCAAATGACCGAGCTTCTCACCCTATCTCTAAGGGAGAGCCCAGCCACTCTGCGGAGAAAACTCATTTCGGCCGCTTATAGAGCTGATCCAGTGTTCCACGGCCAGGACGAAAACCATGTTGCTCCTCCTGAATCTGAGGTTTAACAATCTGACGGACCCTCCTCTCCAGAACCCCTGAATAGACCTTACCAGGAAGGCTCAGGAGTGTGATCCCCTGTAGTTGGAACACACCCTGCGGTCCCCTTTTTAAATAAGGGGACCACCACCCCGGTCTGCCAGTCCAGTGGGACTGCCCCCGATGTCCATGTGATATTGCAGAGCCGCATCAGCCAACACTAACCGCCGGTGTCCACCAGCGGGTTCGGGAGTTGCCACCACAACAGGCACCGACGATCCTGCGACTACAGCTCCAGTCGGCCGCCTCAACAATGGAGGCATGGAACAGGGTCCATTCATACTCAATGTCCCCCGCCTCCCCCGGAACATTTTGGAAGTTCTGTTGGAGGTGGGAATTGAAGCTCCTTCTGACAGGAGACTGCCAGACGTTCCCAGCAGACCCTCGTGATAGACCGGCATCCTCCCCCACCATCTGAGCCAACTTACCACCAGGTAGTGGTCAGTTGACAGCTCCGCCCCTCTCTTCACCCGAGTGTCCAAGACATGCGGCCGCAGGTCAGATGAAACAACAATAAAGTCCATCATCGAGCTGCAGCCTAAGGTTTCCTGGTGCCAAGAGCACATGTGGACACCTTTATGTCTGAACATGGTGTTCATTATGGACAATCCATGACTGGCACAGAAGTCCAATAACAAAACACCACTCGATCTGATTGGGGGCCGTTCCTCCATCCACACCTCTCCAGGTCTCACTGTCGTTGCCCAAGTGAGCATTAAAGTCCCCCAGCAGAATGAGGGAGTCACCGGAAGGAGTGCTTTCCAGCACCCCCTCCAAGGTCTCCATAAAGGGTGGGTAGTCTGAACTGTAGTTTGGTGCATAAGCACAGACCACAGTCAGAACCCGTCCCCCCACACGTAGGCGGAGGGAGGCTACCCTCTCATTCACTGGGGTAAACCCCAACGTACAGGCACCAAGATGGGGGGCAACTAGTATGCCCACCCCTGCTCGGCGCCTCTCCGTGGGAGCAACTTCAGAGTGGTACAAAGTCCAACCCCTCTCAAGGAAACTGGTTCCAGAGCTAGAGCCATGCGTTGAGATAAGCCCGACTATATCTAGTCAGAACCTCTCAACCTCACACACCAACTTAGGCTCCTTCCCCACCAGAGAGGTGACATTCCATGTGCCAAGAGCCAGCTTCTGTAGCTGAGGATCAGACCGCCAAGGTCCCCGCCCTCGACTACCACCCGTCACACACTGCACCCGACCCCTTTGGCCCCTCCCACGAGTGGTGAGCCCATGGGAAGGGGGACCCACGTTTCCTCTTCGGGCTGTGCCCGACCGAGCTCCATGGGTGAAAGCCCGGCCACCAGGCGCTCGCCAACGTGCCCCACCTCCAGGCCTGGTTCCAGAGGGGGGCCCCGGCGACCCACGTCCAGGCGAGGAACACGGTTTCCATTTATATAACTCATCATAAGAGATCTTCGGGCTGCTCTTTGTCTGATCCCTCACCTAGGCCCTGTTTGCCATGGGTGACCCTACCAGAGGCAGAAAGCCTCAGACAACTTAGCTCCTAGGATCAATGAGCCACTCAAACCCCTCCACCACGGTAAGGTGGCAGTCCAGGGAGATAGTGATACACATATGTGAAATGGACTCATTCGAAAAGGAAAATTCCGTGAAAGCTTTGATTATCTGATTTAAAAAACACATAATAATGTGCATTTTATTATGCATTTAGAACATAAAACAGATTTATTTTCCTTCCTGAGAGCCTAATCTGTTATTACTGTTTCCTCTGTGTCCACTAAAATAATGAACCGGACACAATATGAGGAAAAATTTGGAATTTGTACAAAACAAACAAACAAACAAACAAACAAACAAACAAACAAACAAACACAACCCGATTCACTAATGAGTATAAAGCTGGCAAAGCTTTCTTTTGTGTGCCTTTTTACTTTTGTGGAGTTTTAGCTCTTAAATGCGATAAAAAAGCCATAGAACGCTCCCTTCTGGCACCACGACAGCTTTAAACCTTCCTTTTCTAATCTACACATTCAGGAAAATATGTAAAATGTTAATTTAGTTTGTTTTTCTTACTTTCATATAAACTTTCTGTTATTTTTTAAACCAGGTTGTAAGAAAACTAAAAATGCAAAGTGTCGTGCACTAACATGAAGATTGGGTGGATTGAGTGGATTATTTATGTGATTATTTACCTTTAATCCTGTTTCCTGACAAACGCCAGTCTGCATGAGTTTGGACCAATTAGCATCATCACTCCTCGTTTTGAGAAGTGAACTGAAGGACATAAACCATTGTCAGACTACAGCACTCAAGGAAACTGATGTCAATGATGTAATTTAGATCCAGTCGTCTGCAGAAACTCTCAGATAGCTCTGCAGCTGAAGAACATGCTGACGGCTGACACAAGGAAATCCCACGCTGAATTTAATCAGCTGATTCTGAAGGTTTATGAGGAATGGGAATGAATTATTTTCATTCACTGGGGCTGTTTGTGGCAGCACACGTCAACGTTTGCAGCAAAAGCCGACAATTCCCTCCAATACAACTGAAAGTGTAGCTTTCTGCAGCATCAGGCAGCTTTTATACATGTCATACACAGAAGCAGTTCAAACATCAGAGGCTGTGACTCAGATGAATGTTTCTGACGCAACCATCACAGCAGCTTTTTCTGCAGAGTTGAATTTGTGTTTTAAATAAGTGGCTTGTCCAGTAGAGTGTGAACAGCTGAGGGACGTGTTCTGAAGGTCCCACTGCCAAAATTACTGCAGTGCACCTAGAGTTCAGTTCCCCTTAGACACACCCAGAATACACTGTAAAACGCTGAAAGCATCACTTGCACGCTGAGTGAAAGGCTACACTTTTACCTTATTACGTCTCAACAACACCTCCCCTCTGCATCCCTGCAGGCTGGAGACGCGGCTCACGCTGAGAGGTTTCCTCAGCGCTTGATTTCTAGTGAATGTTACATCATCATGAGCTTACGTGGCCGCTGCAGGACGGAGGAGGTTAACGGCCAAAATAAGTTAATCAGGGACAATGAGGGTAATAATTTAGAGTAAGGTAATACTGAATTTAAAATATGAATAATACTCAGATAAGATGAATGTTTTATTCAGACACCTCCAAATTCTTTTGAATTTTTAGATTCTGTAGTTTTTTTCAGTCAAGTTCTTCTCTTGCTTTAATAAAATATGAGAACAAAAATCTGCTCAACAAGGCATTTGACCTGCAGTTCCAGGGTTCAGACTTCAGATTCATGTAAACAAAGTAGTCTTATTGTGTGAACTTTAACCCTTTAAAACCCAAACCCCTTCAAATTAGAAAACAGACTGGAATAAATACACAAAAAAGTAGAAAAAATAAAATAAAATAAAGAAGTAGAACAATTTCCATATTTCAAATAGAATGTTTTGGGTTTTTATTTGACTCAAGAAGCAATTTTGCAGATGTTTGAAACCAGTTGTGACACCAGTGTCACTACGGGTCCTTAAGAGTTAAAATATTAAAAATCTGTATTTAAGTGAGATGTTAGAGGGATTCTTTCATAAAACATCAAACTGAAGCAAATTGTTGAAATTGAAAAGCATAAAACACAACTGGGAAAAAAGCAAACAGCAACAGTCAGAGTCTGGAGCATCTTGCAGATGTTGAATATTTATTCTACATGATGTTATGTCTGTAAAATGTTGGGATTATGGATGAGTTCCAGATGGAGGCATCAGCGTGACCTCTGACTCTGAAACAAGCCGCCGGGTGCTGACTAACGCTCTGTCATCCGTTTGGAAATCAGAGCGGAAGCTTAAAGCTCCGTCTGGTCAGTGGCTGGAAAACTGTGATGACCACACACACACACACACACACACACACACACACACACACACACACACACACACACACACACACACACACACACACACACACACACACACACACACACACACACACACACACACACACACACACACACGATGAGTGTTTAATTTGCCTCCTGATTGTGTGAAAATGATCTGCAGACGTTTTAATCCCATTGGTAAGAACAAACTAGATCTGGGGAATTAATCCAGGTTCATCCAGATTGAGTAAGAGAATGAATCACCTTAACAAGAAGAAGCTCATCTGACTGGGTGGGTGATCCAAACCAACAGAATATGAAACTATGGGGAGTTTTGGAAACTACTTCATGTTTCACTGATAAACATTTGATGAATGAAGCGATCAGCTGACCATTCCTGCCGAATATTATCCGCAAGGCTCGAGGACAGGAGACGGTGACGGTTTCTCCGAATTCAGCTCGTTCCCAGCATGCTATGTTGTCCCAGGCTCCTTTGCATCCCGGCTCTGTTTGACACAAACATGACATCATGAGGACTTTTTGCAGCAGATGCAGAGATTTAAATTGTGTTGGAATTTTACATTTTATGACTTTGAATACATTTACATGGATTGTTTATCCCACAAATGGAAAAATATAACAGCATTATTTTTAGATTTTCCTGCTTCTTGCACCGTTTGATTTATACATACATTGTTTAACCAGGAAGATCCCACTGAGAAATTATTTTTATGGGTTTCCTTTAGGAACACATGCAGTGGGCAGAAGCTGGATTCAAACCTGCAACCTGCTAATCTGCAGACACACGGTCACTTCTTTGTCTCATTGCAGTAAATATTATTTCGCCAAAACTATCAAGCAAATTAAAAACGACTTTATTTATTTCCTGAGTTATTTAAAGGAGGAATGAAAAAATCTGTACTTGATTCATCAAGGGACCATTTTAATTGGATTTCATGAGCTCTAGTAAAATGTTTTTTATTAGTGATAAGAAAAATAAATAAACATTGTAAAACATCTGGACAAACGTGAGTTTAGAAATTTTGCCTCCTTTAAACGAGTCTGAGTTATTTTATATTAATTTAGATTTTTATTTCTCTTAGTCTGGGTGTGACCTCAGGGTGAACTTCCAGGGACTTCCACTCCTGGGAAAATTGGCATCTGTCCTAATTTTTTTCCACTGTGATAACGTTTTTCTGATGGACTCCAAATTGTTTGGAAATGACCTTTAACCCTTCTAAGATTGACCAGCAGCAATAGCTTCTTCTTTGAGGATTGTTGTCTTAGCCTTGTGTTAACACACGCCTGTATGCTCCGGACTGCTCATACCTCAAACAGCCTAAAAAAACCAAAGACAGTCTCAGAACACAAAAAGGGCCAAAGCTCTAGAACCAAAACCAGTAAAGTAAAGCTGCTTTTCCAGCTGCCTGCTTGAGCCTTAATGGGAGCCACGGTGGTGAAGGCAACCAGACAGCTGGGCTTTTTAGTGACAGATGGGTAGAGACGGTGTGCAGGAGGACGTGGAGCTCTTCTCTGCAACATCCCTGCTAAAGATCCACTTTACAAAGGCATCTGACTGAAGCAACAGAAAGGTAAACAAAAACAATGAAAGCTTTCTGCAGAGAGCAGGGAAAAGGCGGCCCAAACACGATGTGACATTTTCTGCTGCTCTGCTAAAGAACGCATCATCCAGAGTTCCTGAAGAGTCAGAGGCATCGCTCTTTAGTCAGGAAACCAGATGCCGACTCTTGATCTCAGAAGTCAAAACCTGCATCTATGGCTGCAGAAATATTTATTTTTAGTCACAAAATAAAAAAATTGGTCTTCCTGAAAAAAAAAAAAAACGATTGACTGTGTGATTTGATGAGAAGAAGTTTGGCTGTTTCATGTCAGTTTTGGACAGGTTTTGTTGCTGTTTAAGGTTTTTTATATCCAAAGTACCAGATTATTTGTGTGTCACTGTTAGAAACATCCTATCATAGTTATGCAAAAACAAATCAGTTTGATTTATCATTTAAAGGTCAACCTGAACATGGCTCTCTATTGTCTCAGCGTTCTTGTTTGTCCCAACCACCCGACCAAGGAAATACTTGGGTTATTACTTTATTTTATAAAAAAATAAAAACTATCTTTCTAATTTTATTTACAGGCAGATGTCGCAACGTGCCGGTGAGTGAGGCAGATACAAGGATCCACATGTGGGCGAGGGAAGCAGGCAGGCAGACAAACTGGAACGAGTAACAGTCTTTAATGAGGAGAGCACGCAGGACAATGAAACAATGAGCCAACCAGACAAAATGGACTAACAGGGTTTAAATACAGGAGGAGCTGGGACCTCGGGTGATTGGGAGACGAGAGGCATGTGGGAGCAATTAACATGAACACAGGACTGAACCGAATGGGGAGACAGGACAGGGTGTGACAGCAGACATTTAAGTTTCTAAAGCCTTTAAAGCCTGAATTATGAAATAATGCTAAAACATTTTAAGGTTGAAATAACATCACAACTACCTATATAATAATCTGCTTATTTTATTAAGTATTTCTATAAAAATATAACCGTAATAAATAAAATCTTCCCTTGCTACCATCAGACACTCCACCAGGGGGCAGCAGACATATGACAGGTTTCTGATGAAGGCACTAAGCCTGATGCTACATCTGGATCCAGACCTGTCTTCTTTTGCTTTTTTTATTTGTTTATTTTATCTTTTGGTTCTGTTTTGTTCTTGTGCTCCAGCTGATTGGTTCTCACGACAACATTTCTGTTTTTATGTCACACTTTATCTCTAGAGGAGGACACAGGCTTGTGAGTTCCAGCTCACCGCGTTTGACCCAACAAAGGCTTCCCTGTGGATGTCTAATGACTACGACTATTCTCGTCTCAACATTCCTGTATACATCCCCCAGAATAAAAATAAAACTATATCCCATCCTCCTCCTCTGGATGTTTTCACAGCAGCAGATTCAAATAAAAGTCTGTGGAAGAAACCGAAAAGGAATAAAGTGTTAAAGTAAAAGCAATATCTGCTGGACAGAAAGGCTAAGAGAGGATAAAAGAGGAGGAGAGTGTAAGTGCGCGAGTCCCGAGGGGGAAATGGCTCCAACACAGATCCAGAGTCAGCGGTGCATGAAGAAAGCTCCATCTAAGTGATCCATCCTTTCACAGAAACACATCAGGGGTGAGACCTCGGGTTTTTTCCGCAGCAACTCTCCAAAAAGCACAATCTAAAAGCCAATCCGCCTAAACTTCAGCATGGGCTGTGACTGTCTACCATTAACCTTCTCTAACTTTGTGCATTTCCTTTAGACAACCTGCTTTGGCTTTCACTGGTTTCCAAATATAACACCAAACTGGTTCCACACCGGTTCGGCCAACCTCAGAGTCCTCTTATGAAACAAACAAACCTGGAAGAGACCAGATGATAAACACCCTGGAAAAGGATCGTTATTTATGATTTTTATTTTTCTGCTGCCAACTTAAAATAAAATGCTTCCAGACTCCAGAACTCTGGATTCTCTAGTAAATTCTAGCAAATGTCTTCCGTAAACCTAATTTTTGCTCCTTATCTTTCAATATATAAGATCTTCTTTTCAAACAATAAAAAATCCTAACAGAGTTCAGAACTAAGCATAGATCACAATTTATAAGGAAGAACCAAACCAAAGGGATATTACATAAACATAACTTTGGGTTATTGTGAGTTAAAACTGACGATCACGCTGGAGGAGAACATCATAAAAACACACCAAACAAAGTGTGTCAGGGTGATGAATGATTCATGTCTAAACATCTCTGCTTATTATTTTTTAACCCTCTTGCTCGGGGTCGCGGTTCAGCAGATTTTATCTGCATAATTCAAAAGTAGAAAATCACCACATCTCATTAAGCTCAGGAAATTTTCATTTGCAGCAATTTGATTTAATGTAGAATTGAATGAATTTACCCTGAGTGAGTATTCATGCTGGCAATGATCACTGTTTATTACTGTTGAGAGGAGACTCGGGGCAGACTCACTGATGACATGGTTCGAGTCTGGGCCGAGCTCCTCTCTGTGTGGAAACCTCTGACCTCCAGCCCTACAGACCCCGCCCTCTCCTGTGCGCGGTTCTGTGGAAGAGAGCAAGCTGACTGGGTTTGTCAGAACCAAGACTCTAAAAGTGTGCACGCCTGACTTCTCAGAAACCAGAGCAGGGAATCTAAAAAAAGTAGTGTTGGAGGGAACTGCATGTGTGAAGAAGGAAAGAAGAGGGGGGCCTCGGCTGCTGCCTGGGCGAAGAAGCGTTAAACCACAAAGATGAAGAATGGGCCTGCAAAGGTAGAGGTGGAGTTTTGTGCTGCAAAAATAAAATACGACTCTTCCTGTTAAGAAGTTGATCTTTGATTCGAGACTGTAATAAAGAAAGAAACAGCCCAGAAGAATGAGAAAAAATGATGGTGCATGAAGGTGGGAGGGGAGGAATAAAAAGCGATGGTTGGTTCTGATCGGGGTGGTGGTTGCTGCTGGGTCTGAAAGTGTGTGTGTGTACACAGAGAACTTGTTCTCCTCCGATCTGCTAGAATCTCGGTTTATTGATAAGAACTTTTCCAAATTAGCCTAAGCTGTTCTTCCCTGTGTTGGATTACCTTTTTGTGTCCTTTTTGTGTGTGGAATAAACTTTTCCCTCCTTCGGGAAGGAATTAAAAGTAATTCGTGGGGGCCTCCTTTCCTTCTCTGGCACAGCAAAGGTGAGTTTGCTGGTTGCTTCATTCCATCCCAGGTTGTTTACATCAGCGTTCACCTGATCAGAGGACAAGCTGACGAGGGTCTGTTCTGAGCGCGATGAGCTCACGCAGTGTGTTCTGATACAGCAGGAGTCTTCCTACAGCAAAATAAAGGTGATTTTACCAGTAATAAGAGTCTAGGTTGCACAAGGTAAAATATCTCTCCACAGAGTAAGGGTGTTAGTCAGGAGGGGTCTGAGGTCAAGCCCACCATATTGTACCGTGAGCCAAGGCCTTGAGATTTAACACTTAGAGTTAGCCCGGTGGCTTGGCTTGCGACAATTATCATCAAACTAACTTTTTAATCTAAAAGATCAAATAAATGCTTCAAAAAGGTCAAAATGAAACAAACAAACACAAAAACAATCCTTGAGAAGGACAATTTCCTCTGCAACACTTCTGCATCGTGTTCTGCATCCAGATGCAGGATTCATAATTTTCCACGAACAAGAACAAATCTGCAGGGCGAGATTCTTTAGATACTAAGTCTACTTCAGCAGAAAAACAGAAACGAGGATAATTATTGTAGCTTTCATCTAAATTTAGAGATGTAATCTCATGAATTACTAATCCAGTTTAGTATCGGGAGGATTTGGTCGTAATCCATTAAGACAGAATTTCTTTGCATTAAACCAATAAAGCTGAAAAACCAGCAGGATAAAAATGAAAACAGCAGAATAAACAGAAAGCTGATCGGGTCTAAACTTCAGCCTTTCGCGTTTCTGATGAATGATTTATTCTGAAGGCTTTCAGAGTGACGACCAAAACACCAATCATTCACTTAAAGGCTAGTTTTTAAATGTCAGGAACTAAAGTTTCCACAGCTGGAGTCTAAAGATGTGCTGCGGCAGAAACGTCCTCATTATATCAGTCAGAAAACACCAGTTATGTTTTTGTTTGCGTGTTCGGGTCAATCAGGCCGGCTGTCCTCGACGGGTGTGGACAGAATAAATTAACTATCATCCACAGAGTCACAGCATCTAATCTAAACAGCAGCTTTTCTTTGTGAGCTGTTGCTTTTGTTTGTTTCAGAAATAACTAAAAAACTGAAAAAGATGTCATTAATGAGAAAATGAAAACTCACGACTTCAAGAAAAAAAAAATCCTCAAAAATCCTTAATGTTGTTAAAAACCTGAATCCTGTTTCCTCTGTTTACCTGTTCGTGGTTCAGTTGGGCTCTTTCTGTCTGTAAAAACTATTTTACCAGGACTCAGACTGTCTCCGTGAGTAGAGAAACTCGATTATCTGATTTTCAGGGTGCTGAGCTCATATTTAGGGATATAAAATCACTGATCGTAACCTTTTTGGTTGTCTTCCTCCCTCAGCCTCTTCACACACTCCGCCTCGTCCCGCTGCACCTCCAGCAGGAAGTTACATGTTGGATGTCGGCCGTCGACCTGCAGAGGAAGAAACAGGAACGTGCTCACTTTGACGCACTGGTCTTCATGCATTAGTGTAATCACACCACAAGCTATCAGTATTGTTAAACTCAACATTTTATGTTGCATTTGTCAAAAATTTCAACCCAAATCACACACAAGTTTATGTCCGAGCAGTACTCCAAAGACTATTGGAGAACCGTCAGTACGTTAAAGCCGAGAAATGTGAGTTTCACGTTCCCTCAGTCAAGTTTCTCGGCTTTATTTTGGAGAGTGGGCGGTTGAGGACGGACCCTGACAAGGTAAAAGCAGTGCTCGAGTGGCCAACACCTACAACATGCAAACATTTGCAGAGGTTCCTGGGTTTCGCAAATTTTCATAGGAGATTCATTTTCAACTACAGCCAGACAGCTGCCCCTCTCACCGACCTCACCTCCGTTAAACGACCCTTTGCCTGGACCCCAGAGGCCAATAAGGCTTTCAATGAACTAAAGGATAAGTTCTCCCACGCTCCCATACTTACAAGACCAGACCCCACCAAGCAGTTCACCCTCGAGGTTGACGCCTCTGACACGGGAGTAGGAGCCATCCTGTCTCAAGTCTTTCCCGCCGATCACCGTCTTCATCCATGTGCCTTCTTCTCCCGACGTCTGAGCCCGGCCGAGCGTAATTATGATGTTGGAGACCGCGAATTGTTGGCCGTTAAACTGGCTTTCGAAGAATGGAGACATTGGCTGGAGGGGGCTGACTTACCCACGATTGTCTGGACTGATCACAAGAACTTTCGTATCTGAAGGAGGCAAAGAGGCTTAATCCCAGACAGTACCGCTGGTCATTGTTCTTTTCTAGATTTAACTTTGTTATCTCTTTCAGACCAGGAAGCAAAAACACTAAACCAGATGCTCTCTCCCGCCAGCATTCACCGGACTCCGACCCGGTACCTGTCACCATCCTTCCCCCATCCTGCCTGGTGGGAGCGGCAGTGGTGTGGAATACACAAAAGCAGGTAGAGGAGGCTCTAAGAACCGAGCCTGGTCCAGGTAACGGTCCTCCCAACAGGATGTACGTGCCCTCAAAGGTTAGAGTTCCCATGATACGTTGGGCTCATTCAGCTAAGTTCTCCATCCATCCTGGAATAAGTAGAACCGTAGCCTTCCTTCTTAGGTCTTTCTGGTGGCCTACAATGTTTTGTGATGTCAAGGATTATGTTAACGCCTGTCAAACCTGTGCTGGAAATAAGTGTTCTAACCAACCCCCAGCTGGACTCCTCAACCCCCTTCCTGTGCCATCCCGACCATGGTCGCATATCGCCCTGGATTTTGTGACCGGCTTACCCGTTTTTCATGGTTTCAGTACAATTCTCACAGTTATTGATCGTTTTTCCAAGTCCTGTCATCTAGTCCCATTAAGATCTCTCCCATCTTCGGCAGACACGGCCCAGCTCCTGGTTAAGCATGTCTTCCGGCTACACAGCATTCCAGAGGAAATAGTGTCAGACTGGGGGCCCCAGTTCCTGTCCAAGGTCTGGAAGGTCTAGAAGTTCGCCTAGCCTGGGTACTCGTGTGGCTCGTGTGGCTCTGAGTTCGGGTATTCATCCCCAAACCAACGGGCAATGTGAACGCATGAACCGGGAGCTGGAGGCCATGTTACGCTGTGTCTGCTCCTCCAACCCTGAGAGCTGGAGGACCCATCTGCCGTGGGTCGGGTACGCCCATAACTGTCACATGTCATCCGCTACTGGGCGTTCTCCGTTCGAGGTCTCCCTGGGCTACCAACCCCCCGTACTCCTGCAGGACTATAGACCCTCTACATCTGTTCCCCAGTTCGTCCGCAGCTCCAGGAGGATTTGGGCTGCCACCACTGCTGCTCTGAGTCGAACGGCAGTCAGGAATTGACGCCTGGCCGATCGCCACCGGCGACCCGCTCCAGCATACGTCCTGGGCCAGGAGGTCTGGTTGTCCACCTGGGACATATGTCTCAAGGCCTCTAACAAGAAGCTGTCGCCCAGGTTTATTGGACCATACAGGATCACTTCTGTTATCAGCCCTTCCGCTGTCCGTTTGGATCTCCCCCCACAATAAGAGTGCATCCTGTTTTTCATGTTTCACCCATCAAGCCGGTTTCCATGAACCCCCTCTGCCCCCCTCCTGCTCCTCCACCTCCGGCCAGGCAGTTCGAGGGTGGTCTCATCTACCCAGTTCGCCGCCTTCTCGACGTCAGCCCCCGGGGGCATGGTTTCCAGTACTTTGTCGACTGGGAAGGTTATGGCCCCGGGGACCGCTCTTGGGTGCCTCGCTCGTTTATCACGGACCCCTCTCTGATTCGGGACTTTGAGTTGTCTCGCTCCTCCTCCTCCTCTGCGTCGCCCGGTGGTGTCCCTTGGGGGGGGGGGGGGGGGTAACTGTCACGGTTGGAGGTGAGTGAACACACCTGACTCTCATTCTGTCTGAGTGCAGATGGACGGAACCGGAGAGCAGCGAGCCATCTGCCACTCGTCAGTAGCTTCTTAAGGAGCAGGGAGACGCACCTCAGCACTGGATGATTACTCAATCTTGGTAGAGCTACCTGAGTGTCACAAGCCTTTTATCTTTGACTAGACTGTCTTCCGAGCTTCGTCCCGAGTAACCTTACCCTGCTTCTCCCTCCCCTTCAGGTCGAGCCTCCACTTACAGAACCTGCCATAAGTCACGGATCCACGCCTGTCTCCCGCTCCCAGCCCCTTCTGACCGACCAGCTCTCCGCCGCCTCTGCACCCCCCTCAGGACTCCGAGGATCCCCCCCCCCCCCCCCCCACACACACACACACACCTTCGAGGATCACCCTGTCCCGCACTCCTCCTGCCACTCACCTGCCAACCGGACCCTCCTCTCCTCTCCTCTCCTCTCTTCTCCTCTCCTCTCCTCTCCTCTCCTCCTCTCCTCTCCTCTCTTCTCCTCTCCTCTCCTCTCCTCTCCTCTCCTCCTCTCCTCTCCTCTCTAACCCCGAACTTTGAGCCCCAGGATTTGGACTAAATTAACTGAGCGAAGCTCCTAATCATCACCTACCTTTTAACGTGCTCCTTTAGTTGGGACTAATAAATTATTGTTTGTTTTCTCACCTATCCTCCTGACTCTGAGTTGATTCTGTATGTCTTGGGTCAGAATGTTAACACCCATCATGACAAGATCAGCTAAAACTGCTGAGGTCAGTGAAAGCAGAAATAACCTACGAGTTTACTCATTTCCAGAAGGGATTTAGCTGCATGATACGGTTCAAGGTGAACCTTTTATTTACCGATGTAACAGTATGAAATGACTGTTTCCCACCAAAAGTCATTTTCCCCTCTCCTCTGACACAGAACTAGTCTGCATGAGATATGGCCTCAAGGTCTCATACATTTGTTATAAACTGCTTCTTTCCAGCTCAAGAGAAGAATGAAGAATGGACTCTCTCCTTTTAATAAATCAAAGAACTCTATTTTAACAAAGCTAATCAAACAAAGTGTTAGTCAATAAATAAGATGCAACCAATCTGTGAAATCAAAATATTAATTACTTTATTATAATCCTATAGAATATAATAAGTAATATGACTTTAAATGTTTCCACTAGGACTGATCTCACGGAGCGTTAAGACATGACACATTGCTTTACTGATCCAATCAGAATCTGCCAGATCTGACGGAGGCGTGGTTTTGATGGTGCTTGGTAAATCTGCCAACTTTTCATTCGACCATAAACCAAAACATCCGAAGTATAAAACTATGCCCACGTCATCTTTAACGCCAGTTCAAAGCGTTCTAGAGAAGTTGTCGGGAGTGGCCAATCCGTAACTTTCCTCTTCAGCCGAAAGAACCAACGACAAGCTGGATAAAATCTGTTGCTGTTCCACCTGCTGCAATGGTTCCTTTTAGAATAAAAGCTGAACCATCATGACCCAGTTTTGGGTCTCACTAGATGCCAACAAAGCTGTCGTGACCCGGAAGTATCTCAAGACAGGTCTGGTCGGCAACCGCTGCTTTTCCTACCGGCTTCAGTTCCAGAGAAGGTCAAGCTGGACCTCGACATTCCTGATCTAATGGGGACTTCCACCAGCGTATGTAGACCAACGAAATGGCATCGAATGTGTTTATGAATCTCCTAACCAAAGCTTAACGCAAAGACATTACCTTCAATTCCCATCAGAACTAATCACTTCTTTGGATTTGCTGGTTCTGAGCAACATTCCACATCACACCATTCATTTAGTGTTAAAGTTAGTCTAGTTTAATTTGTTTAGCAATAAATCAATAAACTTTTAAACTCAACTCTCTCTCCTCTGTTGTCCCTGAGTGAATATGAAGCTGTTATCTAATCTCTGCAATCAAAAGTTCCAATCTTCTGGTTAAAATAACCCAACAGATTCATAAGGTTGATTTCATATTTCCTATGGAATCCTACGCCTTAAGGCTTATTAAATAACATGTAATTTAAATTCATTACACTGACCGCAGTGAAAGCTGCTTGAGACTCTGAACTCCAAAGGAAGCACAGAAAGTTAAAAATGTCTGAGATTAATATTTTAAAAAGACTAAAATGGTTTTAGAGATTATCTTCATACCGCAGCTTCCTCCGCTGTTTTAAGCTGCAGAGGTTGAGCTAAAAATAGTTTGAATGGGTTCAGCACTCAGAGCAGGGAGGAGACGAGATGCTGAGTTTGGTTATTTATTGAGTGATAAAGAAGCAACTTTCAGGATAAAGAAGATGAGACGAATCTAATAGATGAGCGGTTGGACAAAGTTGTGAAAGAATATTTGTTTTTCTGTTGGGAATCTTTGCACTTCCAGCGTAGAAGCACAGAGCAACAACTTTGTCGGTCCGTTTTACAGATTTTCAGGTAAACTTGAATTTAATAGTGGCTGAAGTCACCAAAGATGTTTAAGATTTGACCAAATGTTAGGCTGCTCCATTAGTGAACAAAAACAGTGAAAAAGGTGTTTTTCTTCTAGAGCATTTTCAGATTTTCCTCTTGCCTCCCAGATGATGCTGCGTGGCCCCTC